GTTTCCGATCTCGGCGGAAGAACAATCTTCTTGATGCTGTACACGTTCCCTGGTAACGCACCTTCCATAAAAAGTTCCTCCTGTCCACATTTCAAAACACCTTGCTTAACGTCGATCTCACAACAATTATTCCTCATAAAGTCTAGGCCTAGGATGCAGTCGTCCATTATATCAGCCACGATGACATTATGCAGGTAGATCACGTTGCCTAGCTTCAACTCCATCTCCTTCTCTCCACGTACGGGTATACGCTGACCGGTGGCTGTTACCAAATTAATGCGTTCTCGGTTGTATGCGGAGTCCCCAAGGAACTGACTTATAAGTTGGGAACTAACAACCGTACGAGAGGCTCCAGTGTCTATGGTCAGCTTACACGGCATTCCGTTGATCTCGCCCTTTATGATTAGGCTGTTCCCATCATGGGTTTGTGAGATCGAGATCCTTGGGGCTCTTTTAACATCAGCCAGCACCCGCCCCGCAGTTCTGGCTTTTACTCGTTTCCCTGCCGCTGCTGGGCGGTGCTGTTGGCCGCACTACCCTCCTGAGATCGTTCAATTTCCCTTTCTAGGGTTCGCTTAGGGCAGTTGGATCGAAGATGGCCCCTTTCCCCACAGACATAGCACCTTGGGCTGTATCCTTTGTTGCGGTCGCGAACTGTAGCTGCTGCAACCTCCCTGATGCGATGGGAACGATGATCCTGCCGCACGGCTTCCACTTCCAGTGCATGGGCCAAGGCGTCCTTAAGCGTCTCGTGGTGCCCGAGCCTCACAGCAGCTCTGACTTCCAGGTCGCGGATGCCGTCGATGAATGTCTGCACCAGGTTCCCTTCAATGAGCGCAGGTACAGACCGGTATGCTTTTCGCACCAGTTTCTCCACTTCTAGAGCCCACTGCTGCAGGTTTTCGTTGATGCGCTGCACACGATCTTTAAGCTGCGCACGAAAGACGTGTTCCAGGTGAGCGTCGCCATATCTCGCCTCCAATGCCTCAAGGAGTTGCTCATAAGTCACTTCCTCACCGAGAGCTTCCAGAACTGTTAAGGCCTGGTCGCGCAGGCCTAGTGTGAGAGCAGTCATGGCCTGACTTTTATTCCAGCCGTTCGCCTTCATAACAGCCTCGAACTGGATTTTGTAGGCTGACCAGGAAGAAGTCCCGTCAAACGGTGGCACCTTGAACCCACGTAGCGAAGGTGCTGAAGCTACTACGGGAGCTGTGGTTCCATCCCCAAGTTTGAGTTCATCCAGCGTTTTCTTAACTTGGTTGATTTGGGTCTCAGCTTCCGACAGGCGGTTATCATGTTGAGCAACCTTATCCTTCACCTCCCTTATCTCTTTCCCGAAGGTAGCGTGAAGGTCCTTCATGAGAAGCATCTGTTCTTCCTGGCCGCCCCGCAGCTGCTCTTCCAACCGACGGACCTGTTCCTCCTGTCGGCGAGCCTGTTCCTCCTGTCGGCGAGCCTGTTCCTCCTGCTGCTCTTTTAACAGACGGGCCTGTTCCTCTCGTCCGCGCTGCAGCTGCTCCTGTAGCATCGCCATCAGAGCACCTAAGTCAGGTGCTGCAGGTGTAGGAGCTAATGACGGGCCCGCAGCCTCCGTGGCTGGCAGTTGGCCCTCCGACGTCTGTGGCGTTGCACCACCAAATCTCCTCTGGTCCGTCTCATGCTGGCGTTGACTGCGGGTACGGACACCCTCCGTTTCCTCCTTAGGTAAAATCGGCATGATTTTATCCCACTTCTGACACCAATTGTTACGAGCTTGAGGTTCGTGACAATAAAAATTGCCGATAAAATTACCTAAATTAACACTTTAATTTACTTTACACAATTAAAGTTAAAACACTAATAATTTAAAGACACTAATTCACTTAATTCCACTCCGAAGCTTCGCTTGTTTCGCCAAATCAACACTACTTCCATCGCATCTTGCAGCGCCTATATATTTAAATTAGGAAAGAAATATCCAGAATGTTCAAGTAAACACGCGGAAGGTACCGAGCGTTCGAGTTTCGACTAGGCGCTGTCAGTTGAGCGATTTGTGATGTCATTTTCTCAATGCTCCCCTCGCTCTCGTTCCTGACACTAGATGGCGCTAGTTGACTTATTCATGCAACAGGTATCTTCCAACGGATAGGTCTTAAGATGAACATGGACAAAACAAAGATGATGTATAATGTCCATGTCACACCTATGCCGGTAGTTGTTAGGAGCACTATGTTCGAAGTTGTTGACGAGTACGTTTACCTGGGACAAATAGTCCGACTAAGTAAGTCTAACTTCAACCGAGAGGTCAATCGACGGATTCAACTCGACTGGGCAGCGTTCGGGAAATTACGACACATCTTTTCGTCGGGTATACCTCTAACTCTGAAAACTAGATTGTATAACCACTGCGTGTTGCCAGTGATGACTTACGGATCTGAGACGTGGTCCTTCACTGCTGGCCGTGTGAGGTCGCTCAAGCTCAAGCTCAGCGAGCTCTGGAGAGGGCTATGCTCGGGATTTCTCTGCGTGATAAACTCAGAAATGAGGATATCCGCAGTCGAACTAGAGTAACCGACATAGCCCAACGGATTAGTAAGCTGAAGTGGCTATGGGCCGGCCATATAGCTCGAAGAACCGATAACCCATGGGGAAAAAGGTTCTCGAGTGGCAGCCTCGTACCGGTAAGCGTAGTTTAGGGTGACCCCCCACTAACACTCGATGGATGCAGGTGGCTCAGGACCGTGCTTTGTTGCATTACTTGGGGGAGGCCTATGTTCAGCAGTGTACTTGTGAAAGGCTGTAATGATGATGATGATGAATTTTAAACTTTTTAATTCCCGACGTTTCGGGTGCTTTACAGCACCAATGGACACGGGAGGGACTGTGAGGTGTTTGACGTCTCGATGTCATAGTTAGCCCGGCTATCTTTAGTTGTCCGGCCACTATCAAAACTGTGCCTGCTGTACTACCATACGTCAAAAAAGTTACAGACAAGATTCAAGATTTACATCTTGAAGTGAGCTTCCATTAAAACCTACTACAAGCCGCCGAATGTTTGTCAATTTTTACCATCCGTCAAGTGTAATATTCCTCAAAAAGACGCAGGAGTGTATCAGCTTGATTGTGAATGTGGTCTACCTTACATAGGACAAACAAAAAGATCTATAAAAACCCGCGCAAGAAAAGCACCGACGCTCCGGGAAGTCTGCTGTTTGTGAACATGATTAAGATCGTTCCCGCCATTACATTAAATTTGATAGACCACAAATCCTCGCAAAAGAACACCGATTCCTAACAAGTTCACGTGGGTATTGAAATTCAAAAACATTCTTATTTCTGTTTCCGTTTTAACCGTGGTTAACTATTAAATTGGTCGTCGAACACCTCAGTCTCCCTCGTGACCATGGATGCTTTAAAGTGCTCGAAACGTCGGGAATATAAAAAACAGATGCTTAGAATCCTATAATTAATAAAATTATATCCAAACCCAAGCATACCACTTCAAGGCTTCTAGATACTGTAAGCTCATTCTGATTTTCAAGCAGATCGGACCAAAAAATCTTAGTAGTCAAAAACTGAAGGTAGCCAGGCTAACTATGACATAGGGACGTCAAACACCTCACTGCCGTCGTGACCATGAGCACTGTAAACCATCCAAAACCTCTGAAATTAAAAAGTTACAGTACAATTAGTTTCATTTAAGGGGTTATGGAGAAATTAGTTTGCCCTCCAGTACGTGCTGACAGGTACTTGTTATTTTACGCACTTACAACCTGTAATTGTATATATACACTCTTTATACATAAAGTACGATAACGTGGCCCGCCTCTCCAAATTACTGTTTCAGTCTAAGTGGTCTTATTCTTACTAAAGTTTATGCATGTATTTGTAAGTATTCATTCCACTTCAGTTGTAATGTCTTTCATATTGATATATTACAATTGAAGTTTAACAACTAGCCATAATTTACCCATGGCGCAACACAATGCGCGTATCACTTCCACGGACAATGCTAGTGCAGCATCATGCTAAACCAAATAATCTTATCAGTGACACAACTGGTCGAGCAAAAATTATGCTCTATTGTTTTTGTTTGACATCCATCTAAGTACGCACCATGGAAAGGAGAACGATCGCTACGTTCTAAAGCATACCCCGCCTGTCCCTGAACTACCGTCGGTAATTAGTATCTGCGAAGTTAGCTGTTTATGAGTACAAGTAGATGAAGTTAGTTGAATAATGTACAAATTTTCTTCGCGGCATTGGTCAGAAAATAATGTTGCTCCGTAATTTTTTAATTTTTGACAAAAATAAACATTAAAAAATGGTGAAATATTGTATTGTGTGTGAATGTGCAAGTGGGCTTAGCATCTGATCGGAAAAATAGACGGAAAATGATTTTTATTGAGACAACTTAGCGATCGCAGCGCCTCACTTATTTTGTCCATATATCTGGGATACTATTTTCTATAGCGATCGTTCTCCTTCTCTCTAACCTCTATGGTACGAACTCAGTATGGGGTTTGTAGGTACTTTCACAAATACATTCAACCTTAGTAATTTGGAAATTTTATGTATACCTTCGAACTGGAACAATAGGTAGTATCTGCCCAAACAGACTCCTTAGTACTAATGATAGATGATCAAATCTCCTCTGCATAAAATCAACACTAATTTACTATATTTCATCATCTAATGGGCTCTTAAAAGCGAGCTTACTCCTTTTTAAAATACTGGCAACGCACCTGCAATTTCCCTGGTGTTGTAGTTGTTCATGGGCGGCGATAGTCACTAACCATCGGGTGAGCCGCATGCTCGTTTTACCACTCTTATGTAAAAATAATTTATTATTACACGCCTTTCCAAGTGTACTGCTGAACATAGGCCTCCCCCAAGGAATACCACAAAGCGCGGTACTAAGCGAACTGCATCCATCGATTTCCTGGATTTCTTTCGAGATCGTCACTCCATCTAGTGTGGGGTTATCATATTTAATGGTATCCCATTTTCTTTGGTTGCAGCGTCGCCGTCTATCCGCGAGCACCACCATCAACGTGCTAATTCCACGGGGCCTACGATTAGTTTGAATATAAGTAAGTATTCTCCCATTTATATCTACTTGTGTGTGTGGTCTGAAGTTTCCGACCTAACGGAGATACAAGACATTTTCTCTTACAATTTATTTTTATGTCTCTTTGTAAGTCTACACACTTCTCCCAGCGATCCTCCCATCTTTCTAACCCGTCCAAATTGTACTCGGCGTTTTTCCCTGCAAAATAATTGTTCACGAAAGTAATTGCCTTCTCATTTGACAAAATTCTGAATCTTCTGAATCTCTGTCCTCCGAGTGCAATTTTTAGATGAGGGAACAAAAAGAAGTTGCTTGGGGCTAGATCTGGTGATTAAAGCGAATGGTCAAGCAGTTCAAACCGTAATTCGTGGATTTTTTTCGGTGAAACAGGATTTTCTTTTTCTGCAAATGTGGCCGTGTTTCCTTCAGTTTGTCACGTAATGATGCTTAGTATGCTCCTGTAATGGTTTTTCCTTTTTGAAGATAATCGATTAAGATTACTCCATGACTATCCTCAAACAGTCGCTATTATTTTCCCAACCGAAAAACAGTTTTTGCTTTGTTTGGAGCCGGTTCCCGTTTGTTCACTGTTTTAACTGTATTTTTATTTCGGGTCTATAATGGTGTATCCAAGTTTCATCTAAAGTAATTAATCGGCGCCAAAACTCGGATTTATTGAGCATAAAATTACGCCAACAGAGCGTTGGAAATGTTCATTCGAACACGTTTTTCGTCTAACGTGAGCAAACGCGGCACATAACGCGCTGAATGCTTTCTCATGCCTATATCTTGATTCAATATGTGACAAACACGTTCTTGATACATTTTCATAGCCTCTGCTATCTCTCTCTCTTTAATTTGGTGGCCGTCTAGCACCATTTGGTGAACTTTGACGATGTTATCGTCAGTAGTTGCAGTTTTTGGACGTCCTAAATATTCATCATCGCCCAAGCTCTCACGGCCATTCACGTTTAAATTCAGCTGCCCAATATTTTCACTGTGGTAAATGATGTTGCAAAGTCTCCATACACAGAATTTTGATTTGCTTAGGCGTGTTGCCTTTCAAAATTAAAAATTTTATGATAGCTCGATACTCAATTTTTTCCATTTTCACAAAAACACTTACATCGAATCACTCAAACGACTGTCAAATAACAACTACGCGTCCAAAATGACTGAAATTTTGGTGCGTAACTGTCAAAAGATGCACAACTACATTCACTATGTTTTATTGACGAGTGCTGCCATCTTCACGTTGGGATCGGAAACTTTTCAGACCACCCTGGTATATTTTTTAGAAAATTAGGATGACATACTAGCACAGAATCTACGATATGGTTCTACTTAATGGTCAAGTGGATGTGGTTGCCCACGACACATACATCTATCCTCGATTAAAAATCAAAATGAATAGTCCGTACGGGTAAAAAATGAGATTAGAAATGGCGACTCATCGAGCCCGTGCCGATATGCACGGTACCAATACGAAAACCCGCTAACGTTATTGGTTACAACGTTATGTTATTTGGTTAATTTGAAATGTTCTCTTAATAGGAAATAATTTGAAAATAATTGTATATCCAAGTAGGTGTATTAATTGAAAAATAACATTTATAACTGGCGACCCGCTCTGACTTCTCCTGGGCCTGGGTGGGATCTATTAATGTGGCTTTATTTATATTTAGGATTTCTATTTTAATAAAATGTCTAAATTTTTCGGATAAAATGTAGTCTAGTCTAGATTGCTCCTCGTATTCAGCCATTCCGATATTTACCTCGGACAGACAGACAAACGAAAATTTTACAAATGGTAACTCATGTATCAACGGTATGTAAATATTTTATACAAACATATTAACAAACGATATCAACAATAATTATGAAGAAAAAACGACGAGTTGCACTCCGGGAATGCCGGCAGAAGTGAAAACTTGAATAATTTTGCACGAATTGCTTTAATTATCAGAATAATAGTACTATAATTTATGTGGTAGAATTCAATATTTATTTATTGCGCTATCGTACACAACTAAACGACACAGCAGGCGCAGGCATACATTTTGCGCGCCGTAGAAAGAGAGGGGATACTTCCTCTCCTACGCTGCGCCGGCTGTCTCTTTCTCTCCAACCGTCTTACGCATTTTCGATCACGGTCACGTGTCCTGACGCGAGTTAAACATTTTTTACCCATTACAAAAAAGTGTACAACGCCGCTAAAGAAGTTTCCACTTCAAAACTCTCAGAATGCGTCGTAGCTCACAAATTAGCTGCATTTTTGTAGTTCACAGGAATTTTAGGAAGCAACTGCTTTCAACTAACACACTGATTTATTTTTAGCTGTGACAAGTATATACGTAGCTATACATAGGGACCCACCAATATTAACGACGTTTCGAGTAATTTACAGCACTCATGTTCACAAGGGGACTCGACAATCATGGATGCTATAAAGTACTCGAAACGTCTGGAATATACAATAAATGTCATATACGTGATAAAATCCGTAAAAATTAGTTTCGTTTAAAGGAATCATACCACCAAGTAAGCACAAATATATTAACTTTGCAGGTGGTGAGCCTGGCGAGGCCGTCATCATTATAAATGAATCACCATTAATGAGCTCCTCTGTGGCCGTCAGGCCGCACAGTCCCTCGCAGCCGCCTCGAGGTAAGTTTAACTACACTTGCAAGTTTATTTATTTCTCAGATAAGCTCGCGATATTTGCTCGGTATGTTTTTCTTCACCGCAAGGCATCTTGTCAATTAAAACATAAAATTGCACAACAAATGTTGTGTTGTGTTTTGTAAATTGTAGTTAACAATTTTGAGCGTGATAAAACCCGGTTTACTCGGATACTATGAAGTTTCTTCTCTTGCATTCAAATGTTCGCGCTTCTGAGCTACACGACTCGTAATAAAACAATTACAACCTTAACTTTGTTGAGTTAGCATTTATTTGTGCGTATTTTGTATATTCTATTTAAGAGGATATCGGGTTGTAACATTTGAATAATAGATTTTAACAGATCTATTATAGTCGCGTCGTGCCCGTAGGACCGGATGGACAACCGACAAAGACAACTGCTGCTCTGATTGATTATACTAAAGAAGAATTTACGAAATAATAACCCCGTATTCTTATTGCTGTCTCTTCCGAAAATGAACCCATCTTTTTAACAACAATATAAGGATGATCTGTATTAAGAAAAGTATTGGCTGTCTGTGTGTTTTTCTTTTATTTATTATATTCGTTAAAAATGTCTAATAACGGCGATATATCTGAACAATTTTAGTAATTTTAAATAGTTTCAAGTTTTTATTATTATTTATGAAAAAAGGAACATTCCAGTGGTAGTTATTTATTTATTTGGTTCACCAACAAATGTTACACTAATACATATGCTTAATTCTAAGACAGTGATATAAACTAAGTGCATATTCAATAATAGGTAAACACTGCATGCTTAGTGCTCACAGCATTTCCTACAAGCCTTTAAGTAATAGCTAAAAATATACAATACACAATTTAAAAAAAAAAATTAAATTAATACAAAAAAAAGGTACTACAAAGAATAGAAAATATTAATCAGAGTCGTGGTTATTGATTGTATTGTAAAAAAATATTAGCTCTAGTGTCATTACCCAGGGAGAAAATTGAGGAATACCTTTATATGGTCTGAACACCTGATCTTCAGTCAAATTCAGATTTCATATAAAAACTATGTGTGGCGAAAGTTTCAGTGACGTTTCTTATTTATCTGTGTAGTGAGGGAAAGATCATCTCTACCGGGTCCGCCCAGCTCCACCCAGTCGCCAGCGCAACCGTCACTGTTCCCCAACCTGGGCACCTTAACAGGTATTATATGTATGTGGCGCTTTTTGTCTCGTGTATAGTACATTTTAGTATAGGCTTGTAGTCTTACTTGAAAATGCTGAAGATTAGCTTCAAAATTGAGAAGAAACTAAGGTGGGGTGGTGTCTATGCGGTATAGCGAAAACAACACGACATACTTATATTTTTATTGTTTATGACTTACCTACTTGGTAATTATACTGTATATAAATTTAAAAAATATGAATTATATCTACTTACCTATGGCGTTAACAAAGTTATTATAGCACATTTTTCAAAATAGACATACTATAGTGTTTTGCATGGAATTTTTTTTAGCATTGGGTGACAAACGAGCACACAGTCTACCTGATGATTAGTGGGTGCCATGTCCCATAGATAATTCAAATTTATTCTCAATTAAGTATCAAAATGCTTTTTTATTCAATATAGATTATAAACAATACTTTTTGAAAGACACTTTTTTCATTTACCACTGGTTCGCAAAAAACCTCTGTCCTGGGAAGAACCAGCAAGAAACCCAATAGAGCTTTGAACTTTGTGTATGTAAAATTTTGTATAGATAATAATTTTCTGGGATTTTGTTGTAAAAGCGTATACATCCCCCCAAGAATGAATTACTGACTCGATGGAGTCGAGTAACTTGTACTACTAGCTTGTGTTTGTTCCTAGTATTTACAGAATGAATATCGCTTATTTTTGCAAAACTACTTTTATTTTTGTGTACGTAGATTACATTTAGAGTTAATATATCAATTTCCTTAAATTTTTGTCTGAGCGTCACTTTTGGTTTAAATCATATATTGCTTTAATGCCCTCTTCTGTAAAACAAATAATGCCATCAAACACATAACTTGTAAAACAAACGAAGTCTCGCAACTCAGTTTTTCTACCGTAAAAAGTTGTGGGATCCATGTAATAATACCAAGTCGGTTAATTTATTCAGTCCCCACTTAAGGATAATTCTGTTTTAAGTTATACGTGATTAACTAACCTAACAACATTTTACAGTAATAATAATAATAATAATAACGTTTATTTCTCACCACAAACAAAGTTACATTTAGAGTTATAAGTAGCATATAAGTAGTACAAAACAACTTTGCCCGTGGATCGCTGGTGCCTATGATGGGTAAGATACCCGTATTACAGGTCACCAGGTCTCCACCTCTACGAGAAATGCTATTTATATCTAAAATATTAACACATAAAGATTAAGTAATTTACAGTGACCATATCAATGTTAAAAATCTTTTATATTTCAAATGTATAGATTGACTTGGCCGACTTGGCATGAAGTGCTGATTTAACACGTGCTCGTGCTCGTGCACGTGCACAGCGGTGAGCCGAGCACGTGGTAAATCAGCACTTATAATTGCTATTAACAAATTCATTGGTGCCATCAATCCGGGTGGCTCGTGTACTATGAAATGCGAGCGCTTCCCTTCCCTGAGCTACTACGGCTTGTTGTTGTTGTTGTTGTTTTCATATGTATTTGAATGAATGATTAAAATATACTTTAATGTACACCAAAAAAAAAAATATTTAAAGGCACAATAGGGTATTATATCCATTTTCAAAAAGTGTTTTAAATGAATCCTACAGTGATAATACACCACTATATTTTTTTAAACCGAATGATGCCATAAAAATTACTTTTAATCTATCGTTTTAAATTTTCGCGTGAAAATGCTAGCCGCCATGCTGTTCAACTCGTGACGTCATTGTTCTAGAATTTTACCGATTTTGCACAAGAAATAGGATACATACTTATTTACATACTTTTTAATGTTTAATAATGAGTTATCATCTATATAATTGTTGTGTTGTGCCTGATGCAAAAATACGAGCATAAGAACAGCCAGGAAGGTTATGGATTCAAGTGAAAACTGACAAGAAGATACCCGAATACAATGTCTACAAAAATTTGACTTTGATGTAAGTATGACATATATTTGACTGTTGTTAATACGTAACAAAACATCATGAAGTGAAGGGTATCGCAAGGCAAATTTGTTATAAATTACGTTTACTTAGACATTATAGCTAATGGGTGCGTTTGGCAGAAAAAAGCGCTAGCAAGCGCTTACAAGCGCTAAAATAGTTTTCGGCCAGGACACGATTGCTACTTCAGTAGCGCTGACATAATCCGCCATTTTGCTTATTTAATTTGTTTGTTTTGAAGTAGAGTTTAAAAGTTGTTTTGTGCAATATTAGTATTAAGTAATATAATGACATGAATAAACATATACATGTTATTAAAAATTCATGATTGGTAAGTTTTTAATATGAATACTTATTAAATTAGGTTTGGGTCCCCGGTTAAAACTAACATCGTGTCCTAGAGGAAAATAGCTACTTACGATTTGACAGCACTTACCGCTTACGATCGCCATTTTGCTTACAAGCGCTTGCTAGCGCTTTTTTCTGCCAAACGCACCCAATGATTGCTAACGACTGTAATTATAGATAAATTTAACTATGACAGCTACTAAAAGATTTATCAAAATACGCTCTGACTTGGTATTGTATTTTTGAATAAACAAAAGTTGGTAATAGGTACTTACATTGATGTTTTAACTTTCCTCAACTCAGTAGAACAAAAATTGGGATTGCATGCCAAAAAATTTGCCACCATAAATTTATTTATCCTTGATAGATTAGTACTTTCTGCTTTTATGAATTCGTCTTCCATGATGCCTTTCAATAAAATTCGGAATAAAATTCAATAATCGTAATGATAATTTGAAAAATTTCGAAATAATACAACACATTAGCTAATTCTAAAACACTATTATCTTTATTTATTTGCTACTTGATTAGTGACGTCACGACATCTCCAATATGGCGGACAGCGTTTTGCAGATTTGAGGCACGCACAAAAAATATACTTATAATTGAAATATAAAATTTATAATGCAATTTTATAAATAGAAATAAATATTTCTCGTTTACTTTTTACAAAATCTATCATAAATATATACTTTTTTTTTGGCATGGTGTAAAATACCCTATTCGCGGCCTTATCGCTTTACAAGTCTTAGTATATGTAATATTTATTTATGTTTATTATATTTGGTATGACTAGCAAAGAATGGTAACTGACATTAAGTCCGCCCTTTGTAACATAAAGGTTACCACAGTAAAGTTTAAAAAAATACATAAATAAATGTTTGTTGTGGCAGCGGGAGCTGGTGCGGGCGGGTGTGGCGCGGTGGGTGCGGGGGGTGCAGCCGCGCCGTGGCGTGCGCGCCTCGCCACCATCAAAAACTCCTTCCTCGGCTCGCCGCGCTTCCACCGCCGCAAGATGCAGAGTCAGTATACACTATGTACCTAGCATACAGTTCATTCTCGCGCGCACCTCGCCACCATCAAAAACTCCTTCCTCGGCTCGCCGCGCTTCCACCGCCGCAAGATGCAGACTCAGTATACACTATGTACCTAGCATACAGTTCATTCTCGCGCGCGCCTCGCCACCATCAAGAACTCCTTTCTCGGCTCGCCGCGCTTCCACCGCCGCAAGATGCAGAGTCAGTATACACTTTATGTACCTAGCATACAGTTCATTCTCGCGCGCGCCTCGCCACCATCAAGAACTCCTTTCTCGGCTCGCCGCGCTTCCACCGCTGCAAGATGCAGAGTCAGTATACACTTTATGTACCTAGCATACAGTTCATACTCGCGCGCGCCTCGCCACCATCAAGAACTCCTTTCTCGGCTCGCCGCGCTTCCACCGCTGCAGGATGTAGAGTCAGTATACACTTTATGTACCTAGCATAGAATACATTTTTGCGTGAGCACTTTTGGGTTGCTATCCATAATAATAATCATTATTCTGAACTCTTCGGATTATCTGAAACATCATTTTCGGCGCCTGCATGACACTGATGCTCAAACCGCTTAATAACAGTAACAACCTACCTGAAAAGTTAAGATAATCTGCCAGCAAATAAACATTTAAGCAAATTTTCTTAAAATGGTTCAAAATTTTTAAGCTGGGTTTATCATTGCAGTCAACATTATTTAACTTTACAGTTTAGTGATAGTGTAAGAATATTCACGTACTTTTACACTTGTTACTGCTTTCGTGGTGTGACATGGCTCGCTGACTGACTGTGTTCCCTCATATGGCCAGCAGTGAAGGACTACGTGCCGGTTTCACAGCTCTCGAAGCATAAAGCATTGAATAAAGATCCATCATAATTTCTGTTTCAAAATATTACTTTTTTTTCCTCAGCGTCGTCAGAAGAGGTGCATCTTACGCCGGAATCCTCGCCCGAACTGACGAAGCGGTCTTGGTTCGGTTCCTTGTTGCTGTCCGCTGACAAGGAGGAGACTTTCACTGCACTTGTCAAAGGGAAACCCCTGGCAACAGTTAAAGCTGATCTCATACACGCCTTTCTTAGTGTGAGTTTATTTAAAAAACCTTAAGTATTGTTTTAAAACAGCAACAAACAGCAACTGTATAAAAAAAAAACTAATTTTATTAAACAACTTTTAAACATCAATATACTTTACATATTTCATAAATATCGATATCTTTATATATATACAACATGTCCCAAAATTCAACGATAAGCCAACACCGGAGGATAGACCTGCCCCGGACTAATCGGGGTATATATATATATATATATATATATATATATATATATATATATTTTAAATCAACCTTTTTACAATCCAAACCTCTTAAACGTCGACATTTTTAAGCATCAATATTTATAAACATTGATATCTTCTAGTTATTACACTTTATGAACATCGAGAACACTTTGAAAAGGAGGTATCGGCTCGACGGTAGTTTGAGACGCATCGTTTCCCTGTTGTTCTACGCTTGAAAAATCCGAAAAATAGGTAAAAGATATCCAATATCGGTGAAATAAGCGTTGTTTTGTGCAGGTCTCTGTATTCTTTGTGCCCATGATTGTGTCAGTTGTGAAAAGTATAATGTCACAGGGATATTTCAGCAAAACATACCGGCGGAACTGCATAACAGGTAAAATTTTACATAAAATTGCGTACGCCGCTGATTTAAGATCGACGACCTGCTGATTTTAATATCTATTTTTGTGGCACTACGAAAGCTCTATAATATGCCGTGATTTGTGGATTTTTTCGCTTATTAATTTTTGAGTTATTGGGCGAAAACGGAAAAATCACGTGGCACGGAAAATTTAAACCGCAGTCGTGCGGCTAAATTTGAATACATAGTACACACTTAAACCTACTTTTTTGTGTTGGTTACACATAAATTGGCATTGTACTCTAGAATATATAGCCAAAAACGCAAAATTATTAAAACTAGTTCAAATTCACCTGTAAATTGCGGGTTATCTGAATCGACGAATTATCATTTTTATTTGATAAAATAGTCGCAATACTAACCTCTAATCTGTTTGCGAGGTTTCGGATTTTTCGAGCGAAAACTTTTTGAAGTATTACAATTTTCCTGAGAACACTCTAAGACGTGCTCTTTGTTCCTGCAGGCTGGCGATACTTCTTTCACAGCATAATCCTGCAGCACTAAGAACCAAAAAGGAATTCGTTTTCAGAACGCTCCTATCACCTTTCGTCAGAAAGTTATTTAATTTTCAGTGTTTTTCAGGAAATTTCAGTACATGTTCTTTTTCGTTTCTTTCGTTTCTTCCCTTACAAAATATCACCAACGGTTTGGCCGTGAAATTCTACATAGTTACAGCCCAAACACGACTATCCTACCACCTCCCGTTGCCGAGATATAAGGATTTATTATTTTTCCACTATTTCGTCCGCCATATTGGATATCTTTTAGAGCTCATATCTCACCAACCGCTTATCACAGAAGCGTGAGACTTTCGATATATACCTTTAAATTGTCAGCTAAATAATCTGGGATCAAAAACCCCAGTCGCCAAAAATCACACAAACTGGCGATAAAATAAAATAGTTAGTGCAAAGGCGATTTGAATAAGCCCAAACACGACTATTTTACATAACTGAAGAGGGAAATATACCCTTTTTAAAATATCGACCACCATCTTGGACCGCCATCTTGCAAAAACAAAACTCGTTATAACTTCGGAACCGTTGATTGGATTTGAACGAGGTTTTCAACAGAAGCAAAGGCAAACGGTCCTTTATTATTTTAAGCTATTCTCGAAATCACTCGACCCGGCCAAGTCATCCGCCATCTTGAAAACTTTCGAAGACTCATAACTTCGTCCTATCTAAGTCGATTTTAACGCAGTTTTTGGTTATCTAAAGGGCTCTTAAAGTACTATCCCTTACCTCCAAACAGAGTTCCATCACTCGTTTCACCCACACTTCTTCTGGGATAAATCGAAAAGATGAACTTCTAGCTGCTCTGGAAAACCGCAAGCACTAAAAAAGAAGACAATCAAAAAAGACTTAAAAGACTCTGGATGAAGCAGCGTAGATATAAAAGTATCAGAACAGACGAGTCTGCAGGCACGGTGGGAAGCCCATAGAACCCACGGAACAGGGAACTGTTGAACTTCAAGGAAGTGCCCATGGAGGAGCACGCGATGAAAGGGCGGTAGAAGAATCAGACACTCCAGACCAGCTCTCGTCATCGCCCAACCTAGATGAAGCGACAACGTCCTCTCCAGTGCTTGCGAGGCCAGGCTCGAGTCTTCTTCGGATACGTACACAAATAAGGCAAGCGAAAGCTGCTGAATCCAGGGATGCCTTAAAAGCCGTGTTCGAGACGGAGGATACCGCTGACTCGGACGTCGACAGCGGAGACACAAACACCTCTCTGGATGCCTCCACACGATCCATTGGAGGAAATCGAATGCTTCTAAATGAGTTGCCCAGACATGCGAACGAAATATTCCAGCGAACTAAGGCAGAGCTAGAAAAGTCTAGCAACTTAAAAAGAGAAATTCGAGAAAGTGTCGTGTCGGGGCTATACATATTATACGAAATGGTCCTTAAACTATCTGATTCAAGAATGTTGCACATGCTTGAATCTAACAAGCAGAAACTGAACATTTCCCGCGAGTCCGAAAGGCTCACGCAAAGACACGCGAGATTCATGCACGAAACCTTAGGACAGTAGCCCTCTTAAAAGAAGACATTAAGAAATTACAGAAGGAAACGGAATCCACCAGATTAATACTGTCTTACGACATTTGTGAGGCTGTCACCGCAACAAAAAGAGAGGTTGTGAACGTAAAAAACGAAATATCCACCGGTCCTCCCATTAAGGATCAAATCCAAGCTTTAACGGAGGAATTTAAACTATTTCGAGGTAACATTGACTCCTTTTTGAATCAATTTTGACAAAAATCAGACTCTACTCATCTTGTTGAAGAGCTGAGAGAACTTCGTCGAGTAGTCAACGAATACGGTCTGAGGAAGGAACTTACTCAGCCACCTTGCAGCGCTCTTACACAAAATTTTCGCGATCAGGAGAGTGTGTAACAACAACACCAAAAAACTGAACTACTCCACCAGCAAGTTGTTGACCTGAGAATGCAATTAAATGTGGAGGTAGCCGAAATACGAGAGGACATTAATTCTATGTCCAAAGACATCAAAGAACTAACCGTCGTTTCCTCTAACTCTCCGTTGCCTTCGGTTCAAGCAAACTTAGAAGAACTCTGAAGGGAAAACAGAGAGCTACGAGATATCACAGTGGACTCAGCAGCCCCAATCCGACTAGCAATAGAAAGCCTCAGGAAAGAGCTGAAAAACCAGTTATATGTCGGGGAAGCAGATCTTTCAGAATATAAATGCAAATCACAAGGCCTTAATGATCAGGAACAAAAACATCACTCAACAACGCATAATTATAGAACCCCCCCACTCACCTTCTCGGAAGTCCTGAGAAAGCCATACTACCCAATATTGGTAGAATCAATTGACCCGAGAAGCACGAGTGAAGATATAATCAAACAGGTTAAGGGCGGGATCGACGTAGTCGAGCTGGGCATAGGCGTTAGTAATATAAAAAAGGTAAAGAACCAAAAAGTACTCATTAGTTGCGAGTCCGAGAAGGACAGAGACATCCTTCAGGATAAACTAAGGAGCACTGCAGCCAATCTAATTGCTTGCAGGCCGACTACAAAGAACCCACTTTTGCGACTGATTGACGTGGTCTTCGACCTCACAGACAAGAAGATTGAAGAGGCTATTATAAAATAGAATAGACCTCTCCTGCACGATGTAGCTACGTCACAACTACACGTAAAGCACCACCCGCAACGTAGTCTTGGAGGTAAACCCACAAATATGGAAAAAACTCAAAGATCAAAGGATCAGAATCGGCTTCCAAGTAGTGCCGGCCATTGATCAATCGCTTATAACTCAATGTTATCGATGTCTGGGATTTTCTCACAGAGCTTGGGAATGCAAGGCTCAGCACACGACACAAGAGAGTGCTATAACAGAAACAAAGCACCCAAGCGCATAAATTGCATATATAAAAAGCGTAGCGAAATTAATTGTGCTCACCCTGCATACAGCCCTGAATGCCTAGAGTGGAGAAAATGGGATCGGATAGCTAGATCAACTGTCACATATTGCTAAAGACACCGATTCCCTCCCACGTAGAACTTTAAGCGTAAAGGACAGCACAATTAAAATCGCACAAATCAACCTTGCTAGAGGGTACGCAGCATTCCAGGAATGCTTGCAAGTGGCTGAAACTCAAAAGGTATCGATCATACTAACCCAAGAACCCTATGTAGGGGCCAAAGCACATGTTAACTGTAAAAATAGAGTTATACAAAAACATACCAGCGACACCCAAAAACCCGTCAAATCGGCTGTCATTGTCGTTGACCCAAATATACAATTAACTGTTAATCCAGAAACAATAACGGAAAATATTGTTACATTTAAATTTAAAATGAAAGATTTTGAAATCTCAATTGTAAACACATATATGGAAGGAAATCAAGACGTCGAGGAAGACATAAGAAAGATAGCAAAATTCCTAAACATCCTAAATACCAAGCACGTTATACTAGGATCATCAATGCAAAGAGTCCCTGGTGGGGTTGCAACGTGGAGGATAGACGGGGCACAGCTGTTACGCTGCGGAAGCGTTAGCCCAGCTTGAACTACACATACTGAATGTGGGAAGGACACCCACTTTCTGGGCGCGCAGAGCAAATAAAGACTACACTAGCATCGTAGACAGCGTGTTCAAGCAGCCTACTGCATAAAATAATCAATTGGATTGTTAATCCAGATTTTGTCACGCTTTCAGACCACAGGACAATTACATACAATATAAAAGTTGACAATTCACCAGAAGAAGGCAAAAGATTCAAAATCAAAGATTTAAATCTACGCGTATATACAACACAAGTAAGACTAACTGGACAGACTTTGCCTCTACTCTGAAAGCGGAACTGGAAATTTACAATATCACCGAGGAAGAAGTCAGAAACACACACTTCAGAGAACCTAGTCATCCAGTATGTTAAATGCATCCAAAATTCTTGCGACAAATCTATCCCTAAATTACCTAAAAGCATATCTACTAAAACACCATGGTGGACTAAGGAACTAGACGAGAAGAAAAAAGAGGTTATTCGGAAAAGGAGAAGGATCAGATACGCAAATAAAAATACAAAACAAACAATAATTGACGGATATATACAGGCTAGAACGGAATATAAAAATCTTCTCATTGAAACAATCACATCAAGTTGGAAAGAATTCTGCAGTAGGCAAGATCGGGAGAGCATGTGGCAGGGCATATACAGGGTCATACGTAAATCCAACAAGAACTCAGAAGATACTCTATTAAGGAAGAATCCGAACGGTACAATAAAGACCCCAGCAGAATCAGCAGAGCTATTATCCGAAACCTTCTACCCAACGGACGACACTGAATCTGATGAACAAATACATGCTGAAATTAGACGTAATGCTGAAACACTAAGGAAGGAATGGGGCAACAATAAAGACTCTATAATAGAATTCACAAATACTGAACTACAACTGACTTTCAAAATCATGAGTCCAAAGAACTCACCGGGAGAGGATGGTTTAACTGCAGATATCTGCTACAAAGCCTTTATGGCCACTTCTCCGGTTCTCCTAGCTATCTTCAACAGATGCTTGGAAATCGGATACTTCCCAGGAGCTTGGAAAAGAACAGTAATCGGAGTTATCCCTAAAGCAAACAAAGAGGATTACACCGTTCCTAAGTCATATAGACCTATAGCACTTCTCCCCGTTCTGGGAAAGGTCTTGGAAAAGCTGTTCGTCAATCGTCTGTCGTGGCAGCTGGGATCGGAGAACAGAATGAGTAGTCGACAGTACGGGTTCGTTGCGCAGAGAGGTACCGAAGACGCTCTATGCGATGCGCTAGAGTTTATAAAGCAGGGCATAAATAACAAGGAAATAGTTGTAGTCGTCTCCATAGATATCGAAGGTGCCTTGGATAACGCCTGGTGGCCCGCCATGATCAACGAGCTTGAAAACAAAAAAGTAGACAAATCCATATGCAGATTAATAAGTAGCTATCTCTCTAACAGGCTTATAAAACTTACGTACGCAGGTAACGAAATTATTAGGCAAACCAATAAGAGATGTATACAGGGCTCTACCTGCGGACCACTTCTTTGGAATTTACTACTAGACCCACTACTAAGAGAAATTGTGGAAAAAGGAACACATATTCAGGCATACGCGGACGACATTACGTTAATATCCAAAGGGAAAACAGCAAAACAGATAGAGAATGAGCTTAACCTGATTTTAAACCGCATACTAATGTGGGGCAAGCTGCGTAAAATGAAAATGGCAGCCCATAAAACTCAGGCCATTGTAGTAACTAAAGAGAGGAAATTCGAGAACCCAAAACTAACACTCGACAATATCGAAATAAAATTTACTGATAGTGTCACGGTTCTCGGAGTCACAATAGACGTCAATCTTAATTTCATAAAACACGTAGATAGAACTTCAGAAAAGGCGATACAGCTTTACAAAAAGGTGGCAAGAACAGCGAGAGCGAACTGGGGGCTTAACACAGAAATTCTCAGGAACAATTTATATTACTGTAGTTGAACCTACATCCTTTATGCTGCAGGGGCCTGGGGGTCTGTAGCAGATAAAAAGCAAATAAAGACTAGGTTCAACAGAATAACCAGGACATTTAGCATCATGATAAGTAAAGCACACCGCACATCCTCCATGGTCTCCTGTGTCACATTAGGCAGAATCCTTCCCCTGGATTTAAGAGCAAATAAAAAATGCTAAACTGTACAAATTAAAAATAGGGAAACCACTTCCGCAATTACCCAGACAGGGAGCTAGCGAAACCTGTTAGCCCATACACTCTACCTCACCCAGCAGAACGACAAAAGCTATCATACAGTTCAATCACAACCGAAGACGAATTAAAATCCATGGAAAACGAATGGCCTTGTATTTACACGGATGGCAGCAAAATAGCTGGTAGAGTAGGTGCTGCCATTACCTGTTGGAAGGAAGGCCAGGAAATATACAAAGCAAGATTGAAACTAGGAAACCACTGTAGTGTGTATCAAGCAGAATTAGCTGCCATTTTGAAAGCCACAGAAGTGATACAAAGCAAACAGACACTCAAGAAAGCGAACATCTTAAGTGACTCTCAATCCGCACTTGAATGTCTAACAAACCCTAATACCCTACACCCTCTTGCAGCAGAAATCTTGGTTCGGATATTAGAAATAAAAAGAAATCAGTAAGGTGAAGTGAGATTTTTCTGGATAAAGGCACATTGCGGGATTCCAGGAAACGAAAGGGCTGACGAACTAGCCAAGTCAGCTGCTGAAACTTCTAAGCAAAAACCAGCATTCGACTGCTTCCCCCTATCATTCGCAAAGCGCCTTATCAGGGACAACACTTTGCAAAACTGGTAAGAACGTTACACCACAGCGGAAACCGGACGAGTGACGAAGAAATTCTTCCCATCAGTAACTCAGGCATATAAGACCATGACGAAAGTTCATATTAATAACCTACGATGTCAGATTTTTACCGGCCATGGAGGATTTAAAGCGTATTTGCATAAGTTTAAGTTAACGCAAAGTGCATGTTGTGATTGTGATCAAACTACACCGCAAACTATAGAGCACATATTAATCGATTGTCCCAAATATGCAGTAAGAAGATTTGATGGCGAACGCTGCATGGGTTTTGCGCTCAATGAAGATACTCTAACAAAAGCAATCAACGACAATGACAGTCGCATTCATTTCCTTGGATTTGCCGAGTGGTGCACGAAAAAGGTACTAAAAGAAAATGGTTCCTAAGTGTATAATTAAAAGATTTAAAAAAAATGAATTAAGTAGTGAGTATGATGTATGATAATAAATATGTAAGAACGTCACGTTAATAATTAAGCATGCCGTATGTATTTATAGAAATAAAACTAGCTAGTATCATATTTATATTGTACACAAATAGCATATGTAATTATGAGTTAAGCTAGCTAAGCTAATATAAAATGATATATTGTTCTACCAGCAAATAGCACAGTTATAATAATAACAAAAAATAGCATATATAATTACTAATATATGGCAAAGCGATGATTACTACGACAACATAACACCGAATGTTATATTACAAGCCGATCCCACTGGCTAATTACACGCTAATAAATGTAACAAGAGAAATAACATAAACAATTACATGTATAGCCAAATTAATACAGGCATAATAATAAATTGTTAAATCGCTAGTAACTTGGATATATAAGGACACATACGCGAAATACTGTAAACAATAAAATGTAAAAAAAAAGCACTCGGAAAAGAATTGAAATAGAAATAGAATTTTTTAACACGGTATAATATCTCGTGATATTTAATAATATTAATAATATTGCATATTCTTTATAGATAGCGGAACTGTCTCACAGCGTTCTAAGTCCGATGTCCTTCAGAGTTGAGTACAAGAGGGGGTCCAACGCGCCCGCCATGTTTCAGAGGCATGTTCGTTTTCAGGTGAGTTTTTGTAATAAATTCTATTTATTTTAACTAATATTAATTTAAATAAGTAACTACGTTTCTATTTACCTTATGAATTAGTATTGTAAACAGAGTCCGAAACGACGTCAAAAGAAGGAAAACCCGAGTGTACCAGGCACACTCGGGTTTTCCTTCTTTTTACTATCAATAGTAGAGACAGAGAATAATTCGTATGCAACTAACACCCAGATAATGATTTCTTATATTTACGCGAACGCTACATATTGATTAAAACTACTTTTACGGCTTTTATCGCGTTTAATTTACTTTTAATTATTTTTATTTTTATATTATTGCTTGTGTTAGGATCAACGGGGTCTACTCGGACTGGTTTGGCATCCATAAAGGTGTCAGACGGGGCTGTGTAGCTTCCCCGTGGCTGTTCAACCTATTTATGGACAACTGTTTGGAAAATTTGAAAGTTGAAGAATGCGGGTTAAGAATGGGTGAGTTAACCATCAAATGCCTTTTGTACGCCGATGATCAAGTCATACTTGCGTCGTCGGCGGCCGAGTTGCAAATGATGGTTACATTAATGAACAGGTCATTAAAAGAAAGGGGAATGAAAGTGAACGCAAGTAAGACGAAAGTGATGGTTTTTGAAAGAGAAGAAAGCAAAACGGTATGTGAAATAAGAATAGAAGGAGAGTTAATTGAGCAAGTGGATGAGTTCGTATATTTGGGATGTGTATTCAGCAGGGATGAGAGATATGATAAGGATATTGAACGACGAGTGAATGCAGGAAATAAAGTAAATGGGGCTCTACACTCTATTGTGAAAAGTCAGAATGTGTCAAAAAAAGCACGTATGACAATTCACAATGCTGTATTAGTCCCTACTTTAACGTATGGTAGTGAAAGTTGGGTGTGGCAGAAGAAGCACGAGAGTAGAATAAATGCAGTAGAAATGCGGTCGCTAGGGAGTATGTTAGGGCTGAATCTGAGTGACAGGGTGAGAAACTGTGTGATAAAAGAAGAGTGTGGTTTGCAAGATGATGCGGTGACCAGGATTAAGAAAGGAATGCTTCGGTGGTTTGGTCATGTAGAAAGAATGAATGCGGAAAGACTGACAAAGCAAATATATGTTGCAGAAGTGAATGGAAGAGTCGGAAAGGGACGTTCTAGGCGGAAGTTCGTCGACCAAATTGGCGATATACTAAAAATGGGCCAAATTAAGAGTACCCTTAACCGACGAGCATGTATGCGTAGGTATATGGATGTGGAAGAGGCGAGAAAGGTATGTCAGGATCGTGCTAAATGGAAGTCTGTAGTCTCTGCCTACCCCTCTGGGTGACAAGCGTGAGTGTTTTTATTTTTAATTACCGACGTTTCGGGTGCTTTCCAGCACCCATGGTCACCTCAGTCCCCCCGTGACCATGGGAATTAAAAATAAAAATAATTAAACGCGATAAAATCCGTAAAAGTAGTTTTAATCAAAACACCAAGATGTTTTTTTTTTATAGAATATGAGTGACAAACGAGCACACAGTCCACCTGATGTAGATGCTGTGGCCCATAAACATCTATATTTATCGTCGATTAAGAATCAAAATGCAGATATATTGTCGCCTCAGAAGTCTAAAATTGAATACCTCCTTACCGGTTAAAAGGGTCTTCGGTTCTCTACAATCACTTTACGAAACACAGCAGCAATATTTTGGTGTTTCACGCTGCTGTTTCTACCCTGATCAAGCTGACCAATTCGTGCTGAAACTATAATATAGCTGCAGTATGGCTCTACCACGTTTTTTTCACGTTGAGAAATTAAAAGGTTTCACTTGAACTACTTTATTTCAGGTTGACATATCTACAATAACGAAAGCGCCGGGAGAAAACGGGAAGGAGTATTTGTACGCAATTACCTTTACATTATTATCAGGTGAGTGACAAAGCTTTATACTGTACCAATTTCAGTTAGTGTAGATAGTGCTTTCAGTCTCAAAAATACAAAAAACCATTGAAGAAACCAACTATGACGGATAAATTAGTGACACGTGACATTGACGTATGACAGTGAAAAAACACTGGTCTCACTTGAAAAGGAATGTCGCGCACTGTTGTGAAATCAGGTAAAAACTTAAACACTTTGTGTCGTCTCGCGTGTTGTGACAAGTCGCTTGATAGATCGCTATGAGTTATTAGCACTCGTACCATAACTATCCACTCACACTTCTATCTTTGTTACGCGGAAACTGGCACGGAAATTAAACCTTATAATTTTGAATCGAGCGTTGAGCTGTCCTCAGAGTTAGACGATATAATCCGAAATATCTTCTTGGACGTGGTGTCTTATCAGTTAAACCTAGTTTTACCAACACAAAACACACAAAACAGAACACCAAGGTGACAAAATACTAAAGATTGCCAAGTCTCTTAGTGAAACAACTGAAGAAATAACAATGAAAGACAGAAAAACTGATGTCATAACAAAATATTAGTATCTGGAACATCTAATGCTGGTTACGACTGGAAACACAAGAGAGATTAATAATTCGCGCAATAGGTTTAAGGCTGCCGAAGTCTAGTTCCTCGGTCGAACCTTAAACCTATTGCGCGAATTATTAATCTAAGTGGACTGTATCTAATAATGCTTCTACACTTGTATATGCGGTACAATGCACTCGCTCTTCCCAAAAAAACGAACTATTATTTGCCAAATCGATGAAAGGAATCCTGCTCGATTAGGAAAACACAAAATTGGAGCGGGTTAAAGCGATTATATCAAGCAGACAATAATAATGGATATTGACTCACCGGGATGTTTCTTCTATGCGGTCGAGCACTATAACTGCGACTTCTGGAACACTCCGGAGAGAGGCGGTGCGCGACTATATCTCACACGAGGTGAGGCGGGCTTCCTAGAGCTCGACTGCTTCCAGGCTAAAGCGGTTTCTACTAATGATGTGTTTCCAACAACGAGCGCGGCGGGAAGAGGCCACGCGTCGGTCGCGCGTGTCTTATATATCCTCGGTTCCGATGATTACGTGATGTTCTAGAATCATCTTCTTTCCCCTCCCACCCCACCACCCCGATGTGTCGATAGGAGGGTACGAATGATATCGTTTTGGAAAGGGATAACCGATTTGGCAATCTACCGTCAAATAAAATAAATACGAATGGTTTTCCGCGCAACCACTAACCGACATAGTGGCGGATATAGGATTTTGGTTTGAGAGGGGCTTGTCGTGGCTGAGGCATCAAAATAAACATTAAAAGTTAAAACCTAAACAAAACACACAAAATATTGTCTTACTCGTTCAACGCAATACGGTGTCGCTTTGGATAACTTTTTGCGAATTTTTCAATGACTTCGAGGGTTTTTTTTCTCTCTTCATTTGGATCACCAACAGATGATCCACAATACTAACAAAAATATAACTCAAAACTGCGACTACATGCTATATGTTCATCTTCTTAAAAGTAACCACAACTTACGTAAATAGCGAAGTGATTTTTTTTTCAAGAAAGGGTAACGGATAACTTATTTATGTACTATTTATTTATTTATGTTAGTATATTAAACACACACACTATACACACACACACACACACACACACACACACACACACACACACATATATATATATATATATATATATATATATATATATATATTCAGCCCCACTAAATGAGAATATTCTATGAATACCCCATAATAATGGTTGTATATAGGGTTATTTTTCAAAGAGTAGCCAAATTTTATATTTAATTCAAATATATAAATAATGGTCTACCCTTAATGTAGCTATCGAAAATACGAGTAAATAAGACTACTTTAGTTTTATATTACGCCAAATTGAATGTGATTTATGGGCAACGCGTACGCGGGCTCCTCTGTGTGCGATTTAATTCACTACGTTTTTGTCGACCGAGCGGTACTTACGAATGTGTGCGTGCGTAGTAAAATAGTAGGCGTTAGATATTTATGAATGAGTTCAAATGTCAGTCATAATCAGTTAAAAAATGAATTACCATGCATTCTGATTTTAAAATATAAAAAGTTTCTTTGAAATTTTCTTTACCATTCGCCTATAATACTTATTTTAAACCTTCTCTGCAAATTTGGACGTATATTGCAAAATAAGCCTGTATACGTGGCAGCCACTCCATTCAACCTGTCTTCCGTCATTGTCGTACCAATGTACGCTTGAAGAAATTCTACACTATGGGTTTATACGGGTAATAAAGCGAGAATACGTAAAATAAATCTATTCGTTTATTATGGGACCATTATGCGATTTATATAGTTTAAGCAAGTGTCCCGGTGTGAAGTATTGTCTCACTTTTGCAAGGACAAAACCTAAATTCCTTGCAGCTGCTTTGGCCCCGGACTAAATGAACGGTCCAAAGTTCAGGTTCGAAGAAACTTCAGCCCCAGCAACTGAAGGCGATCAGTGAATTCCAATGACACATTTCAAGGTTTCAATAAAATGAGCTGGCTCCTTTACGCGGTGAAGAGGCACGCTTGTGTTTTTGACGAGGCGTCTTTTTGACGAGATTGGTAGCGCTCCTTTTGGAGACTGCCTGCAGTGAGAGATTCACCATAGCAGCTCTTACGGCTGGATTTGATCCCAACTGGTTCGAGCACTTAGCTGATACCGAACTTAGTCTCCACAATTGTGCTATATTTTGCGAACACATAGATACCGGGCATGAGCAAGTCAATGATATTCAGCAGGAAGAGAGTTGCAGAGAGAACGGACCCCTGAGTAACTCCTGCATCAGTGGTCATATGCTCGAAAGAACAACTTTCTACAACGACTTGGATATTTGATTTGATTGGATTATTGACCAATTTTAGCTAAATAACACCTTATAAAACTATGATATTCAAAGCGACGGAGGTACACTGTGCGAAAAAAGCTAGTTTAAAAACTATTTAAAATAGAACTAAGCCTATGATTGATATTACAATACATTATTTACGTTTAATCTAATATTACTTCACATTGTCTTTTGAGGCAGGCAGCGAGAATAGAGAGTCCAGTTCGCGGCTACCCACACCACACCAAATTATCAACGAACTTAATCGAATAAAGTCACAAACTCGACTAATCGTATTTATATTAATTCAATTTAATTATTTAATCATAAGGATGTACCTGATGAACTTTAAATAAATAAATAAATAAATTCTCTTTATTTCAGGCACATATCACCCATATAAATTACCAACAAAAAAAAGACAATGCAGTACAGAATTACTAACAATTAAAAATAATTATATTATAATAATATCTAAGTCTAAATGGAGGGAACCATCACGTCAAGAGGCTGTGGCCGGCAGTCTTTCCGCAAACTCACTAATTATCCTGTTTCTACACTCACCAACCCTGGACATGAATGATGCGATTCTGAATCTTTGAATGGCATTAAACGTATTAATTCGTGCTTCGGCAAACATGCCTGAAGCACTGCAATAACGTTTGAGACCCATAAGCATTCTAAAGATGTTATTATATTGCACACGAATACCATTCAAAGATCGCCCCGCATATTCAGTCCAGAGCTGGCAGGTGTAGAAAGACTGACAGTACGTTTGGAAGAGCATAATCTTAACCTCCTTAGAGGCTTTAACAAACCTCCTGGCAATCATATTGCCACAGACAGACAAAGCTCTTCTCTGTCGTTCTATATCGCAATCATCTTTTCTGTTCGTTGTCACTATGTGACCGAGGTATTTGAACGTTTGAACTATTTTAACCGGTTGACCCGCCACGTGCACCTCAGGTACATTAGTTGGGCCCTTGCCCGCCTTAAAAATCACCATCTCCGTCTTTTTTGCGTTATAAATTAAACTATGATCTTTAGCAAATTTTTCGCATATGGATATTAATTTCCGCATACCTTTGATTGTAGGGCTGAGCAGAACCATATCGTCAGCGTAACTTAGGTTGTTAACATAACGGTTGCCAAGCCTAAGTCCGACTGGGGTTCTGCTCAGCTCCACGATCAAGTCATTCACATAGATGTTAAAGAAGTCGGGTGAGGTAAGCCCCCCCTGCCTTACTCCACAAGTCAGCGAGTATTCATCGGATAGAGAGTCACACCATTTTACATTATTGATCTGTCTCTCATACCAATAAGTGAGCAGGTCAACAATACCAGCAGGAACGTTATTAGATCTTAGCTTCTTCCATAGCAGATCATGATTCAAGGTGTCGAAAGCGCGACTCAAATCAAGAAAGCAGGAATATACACTAGTATCGCGATCAACATAGTAATTTACTACTTGTTTTAAGGCAAAAATAGCCATATCTGTAGATAGCTCTGGTCGAAAACCAAACTGACCATCGTCAATGCACATGTAGGGTGTAATTTTGGCTTGAATCAAACGCTCAAATACCTTGGCCACAACAGTGGCAAGAGATATAGGTCGGTAATTAGCCATGCTTGCGAGATCTCCAGTCTTACACTTCGGAAGCGGCACCACAATGGTACGTAATAGATTATTTGGCAGGTATGAGTGGCGCATGCATAAGTTAAATAATGCAGAGAGGACTACACAAATATACTGACCGGCATGCAACAGATGCTCTATACTCAGGTAGTCACATCCCGGAGACTTTCCCCTTTTCATACCACGTAAGACGGATACCACATCCTCCTCTGTAACTAGGCAGTTCTCGAAATTTAGCTGAGCATAAGATGTTTCTGTACTCAACAAGGTATGATTCTGAGTAGTTAATTGGGGTGTATCTTGCTCATTTTTCACGTCAACATTAAAATTATTTTTAAAAAGGTTGGCTATCTTTGTGTGATTCACCTCACCCTGGATACTAATAGGACGACCCGCTTTAGGATTTAATTTCTTCACCTCCTTCCAAAATTGTCCAAATTTTTTCGATTTATTATTTCGGGCCAATATATCTAACTTT